TCTGGTTCTTTATAATCAATATCCTCTCAGAAGCTTCATTTATATGGGTTAATTTTATACATATATACACACACACATATATATAGACCACTTTATTTAAAATTTTAATGTTTCTTTCCTTCTACCTTAGAATTTCCTACTATTCTTCTTGCTCTGTTCTTCTTCGTAGCACTTATCACAAATATATTCTTTATTTCACTTATAGATTTTGGTTCCTTCTGACTTCTCTTAGAAATTAGAATGTGACTTCTATGCAGATATACAGATAAAAAATTTTCTAATTGCTGTACCTCAGCCTCCCTTCACGCCCTGGAGAATACCAGACATATAAACATTCAATAATGATTTGATCAGTGTATACAAGAATAAATCAATACTGATCAAATCTACCAAGAAATGGCCAAATTTCCATTTTATTTAGCATTATATGCATCATTTTTTGCAAGGTGGTGACACATCATAGTTGAGAGTGATTTCTGGAATCTTTGTCTTGCGCGTGAATCCTGAATTTAACACTGGCTGTCTGCTTAGTGTTGGGCAAATGAGTTCACGTTACTGTGCCTTTGTTTTCTCATCCCCAGCATAAGGAGAATAAATTGCCTATCTCATAGTTATAAAACACGTATAAAGTACTTAAAGCATTCTAGTACACAGGCAGTTCTCAAAACTTATAAGTATTATCATTAAATGAATTTTTGAAAAGAACAATATTCTTTATGCACTCACTGCCTAAGTGAGAGTCATGAAAATTATGTAGATATTAAAAATATTTTGTCTCAGTAATCTGAATCATTTAATTCAAAGCATATTTTAAGCATACATTATTAATATAATTTACTTTCTGAAAATTATTAGGACATTAATTTTATTTGTTTGACAAACTCCAATCAAGTCAAACAGAGTAATGTAATAATTCCAAATGTCCAGCTCATTTTTGAATTCTGCATTGCCATTTACTATGTCTGTGACCCTGGGTGAGTCAATTAAAATCTTTAAGCTTTGGTTTTTACATTTTTATAATGAGTAAAAATTAAATCTATGTAATTTGTTGAATATTAAACATAGCACAGTGCCTGGTACATACAGTAACAGATCTCAATAAAAAGATTAAACAAAGATTATTTTATAATAAAATCTAAAGAACAATGTTTGTGACAGAACTATATCAATTAATATAATTGAGTAGGAATTGAAAATGAATTATATTTTTCTGACTCCAAATTTAATACTAAGCAAAGAAATGAAGAGATTTACATGTTAGAAGTTATTTCTTTGATATGAAAGATATTGACAAATTTAACAGCAACTCACTTAGCCTATGACTTTGTCTATTAGTAACACTTGATGAGATGAAGGTGTCTCTTTTTTACATAAATGCTTATGAATTTCTTAAAATTCAACATTGTACTTATAATCCTCCTTTTCCTCCCCATTCCCATCAATTTAAACTTATAAAGATTCTAAGTAAGAAACACATACAAAATTCTTGCGCACACATATCTTCAAGGCCATTATTATCTCAGAACGTGTTATTAATATTTTGTAATATCGGATGTATGAGTCATCTTGTAAACTACTATTAGAATCCAAGCAGAGGCACTAGTTGCTGTACTTAGATGTGGTGGAGAAGGTTAAAAATGCTTCTGCCCAGTTTCTCTAACAAGAGTCTGCTGGAGCCACAGTGGGACTGCAGGCACCTCAGATCATTCCAGAGTAAACCACAGGAATCAAGTTCTTCATTCTGAAAACAAACTCCACTAAACCTTTATAACCAGATTAGGACTAAAATACACATGTCTGGAATTGCACTTAAGAGCTAGGGAGCCTGAGCAGCCAGGACAATATGTTTTGAGGAATGTAAAGGGTGTTAACATAATCCCCCAATCCCAAACAATTCAATTTCAGAAAAGAATTTAGGGACTGTGGTAAAATAGCATCTCTAAGCTGGCTACTGCAAAATGATGCTCAGGTTTTCCATGTGCAAAGGGAATGATGAAGGTAGGGTTGAGGATGGGAAATCTGCAAGATAATAGTTCATCAGTTTGTTTTAACTTGTAGGCGAACTATAAAGAACCTCCAGACATCTTGAAAATGTCATAGGCTCTTCCAAAATTATAGATTCAAAATATGGATACTGCCTCTATAAGAGATATGGGTGTCCTTTTAAAATCTCTTTCCTAATGGGCCTTAATATTAAAACACAGATCAGCACAAATCTCGTTGTAAATCAAGTAGATATTCAACTAATTAGGGATGTCACTAGCCCATGAGACACTTTGGGTTTTAGCTTAGCTCTAGAATATATGGCTAGTCCAAAGAAATTCAGACCTAGTCATTGTTTTCCTCCATTGGATGCCCTAGTGGAGGGTACAAACTACACATCAATATGTGGTGGCCTTGAAAATAAGATTTCAATGCCTTCTGTATGTCAAACTGTAATATTCTTTATGTTCTTATGCTTTATAAAGTGTATGCTCATCATCTTTATTTTTAAATAACAAATCTAGAGAATGGCTAAGAAGGGATTCATTTGAATCCACACCTGCTAACATAAAAATCAATATATTTTCTGTTAAAGAAAGCTGCCTTCTACTTCCACCTCTTACTCATTAGAAAAATGGTTAGGGTATTAATCACCATGAAAGTGCGGTAGGTTTTGTGAAACAGTGTGGGACAGTGGCATGCCTTTTTAAGACGACCTCAGGTGTGATTTAAAGCCTTAAGGCTAAGAGTTTGCTACTTGGTCTCAGTGAGCTGTTTCTATTAACATAAGTTTTGCATTCATTTTTGGTCAACACAAATATGTCTAGTTTAGGCAATAATTATTTTTTCTGTTTTCACAATGAGAAATGAAGATTCCTCTCTTTTTTTTTTTAAAGTAATTTTATTCCTCATAATGCCCTATTATGACATATATCTATAAAGCAAATTTTATTAATTATGTAAAAATTTATTTGCTCATTTTAAGATGAAGAGAGCTATTAAAAAGCTAAAGAAAACAGCTGATGGTAAAAGGGAATCAAGAAAACCTTAAATTTGTTTAATAACAGATGAAATTTAGGTAGCTTGTTCAACAAACTTTATTATCAGGAAGACTTTGGGTTGAATTCTAGTTCCTCCACTTAATTTTCATGTCATTTAAACTTCCTGAGACTCATTTTTTTTCTCTGTACATGCAGTAATAATTCTAACCTCATGATTGTTATAAAAAATATAAATGAGAAGCTAAGGAAAGTTATCTGGCACAAAGTGCCTTCTTTGTGCAAAGTGCACATTCAATAAGTATTATTTTCTTATTGTAAAGAAAGTATTATGTAATATATTTCTTATGTAAAGAAATATATTAGCTAGAAAGCATTTCAGAACCACAAAATAACTCACCAACTTAAATTCCTGATTCTATCATTTCTTAGGAGACACCTCTATGTTGGGGGACAACAGTGTGGGTCTAGAGCCTCCAAAGCCTTGGAACCCATCATGAGAAGGAAGTCGTGGGCATTGAATAAGTGTGGGTGCAGTGGACTATGTTGCTTACAATCAGGGTTCTTTATTGTCTAGTGCCTTCCAAAGACCCGAAAAGAACAAAACTGTCTTAATTCTATTTGAAGTATCTTGAGGAGCTGGATAATGATGGCATAGGTATGGCCAGGAGAGCCTAGGGTCTAGGTCAGTCAGTGGTATGAGCCTTTTGCTTACGGACTGTCACAGGCAATCAGAATTAACCAGGCATATCGCTGTTCTCCCCAAATTCTTTAGGTCTGTTTCTGAGTAGTATGTTATAGTGCCGAAGGAAGTACCTGCAGAATTAGTATTTTTTTTCAGTCTATTTTTCAGAGTAAGCATGCCTTTCTTTCCCACATCCTCTCCAAAGTGACTTTATTCACTGTAAACTTGTTATTCTGAAATGATGATTCAAAAGCAAGATGTGTTTCCTTCCCTTTTCTAAAGACTTGATTAATTATCTAAGGGCAGGTCTTTAAGGAGACCTAAAAAACCATTTTTCCTTTCAAACCCAAGCTTTTAAAATGCACTAAATTATTTGGGTAAACCATTTGCAATGTTTTTAGCTTTTTATGTATAGACCCAAACCACCAACCCAAAATATTTTTTTTCAGTGTACAAACAATGCTCTAAGTTAGATATTTCTGAAAGATGTTTTAACTCTTATCAGCCCAATAAATGAGCATCCAAGAAAAAGAATTATTAAACACAAGACTGATTGGTGTCTAAGTATTAAAGTCCATTTCTATTTAACTGTTCAACCCACATTGATATATTTAAAAACATTTTCCATTGCTTTCTCCTAAAAATTCAACATTTTCTTACATCTGTATCAGTCCTTACTACCCACCAAGGAGCAGTCATAGGAGGAACTGCAATGTTGCTCACACACACAGTATTTTCCTGTTCTTCCTTTTGCTTCATCACTATGTTTCCTAAGAAAATGATACGCAAACCATGGATTTTGAAAAGTAGCAGTAGTCTGGAATTCTTCTGTTGGGGTAATTTTTTTTTCTGTTGAGGGAAAGTTGTTATTTGGTCATTAAAATTATTGAGAGTCCTCTTAGAATCAAGTATTCAACATTTAAATTCCTCTGACTTTATATTTGTCGGTATTATAAAATGTAGACTCATCTCCAAATTAGTCAGTCTGCCTAGTTATGCTGTTTCAATCTGCTAGACATTTGGTTTGAGTTCTCCCTATGCATAATAAAGAATTTTCCTTTGTAAACTTTATGGTTTATACCTTAGCTTGTCTACTATGGAAATCTAGCTTTGTCACTCTTAGCCAACTGAAGCCAGCCATGAAAACAATATTGAAATATTATAACCAAAGAGTCTACCTTTATTACTGATAATCCTCAGTTATTTCCTGAGCTTTGACTGCATGGATGTAGACTGCTTATCCAACAGTGAGCTGAGATCGGCCTCAGTTTTTCCAGTGAGTAGGAGTGGAGGAGTAAGTAGGAGTGTCCACATGATAAATATCTCTTTTCTAGGTTTTGCAATGGAACAAATATGGCTGCTGCTGCTTCTAACAATTAGAGTGCTTCCAGGGTCTGCTCAGTTCAATGGCTACAACTGTGACGCCAACCTGCACAGTAGATTTCCTGGTAAGTATAAACCTAATCTGTTCTCTAATTGCTTCTGGAAGAGTGTTTATATTTGAAGTGCAGTTCATTTAAATACATATGGAGAATGGGGGGCTATCTCTTTACATTAAGTGGATATTAACAAATGGCAAATGACAAGATATTTTTCTGGAGCTGTAAATTACATCCTATTAACATACATACGAAGTGTTCATCACAGTTATCATTATAATGGCTGCTCCCATATATGAAAAATATTGCCTTGTGTATAAAAAATTGAGAGGGACTAATTTCATTCAAAATTTGTAAAATTTGTGCCTTTTTAATAAATTAATTCAGACTTTTAAAAACTGCTCTTATATGCTAATATGTATAGGAATAATCTTAAGAAAATGATTGTGAAATTTTGTGCAATACAAAAAAACACTATTTCAGTGAAGTGATGATTACCACCAAAGTACACAGGTCAGCTTCAGAATGAATTTCACAGGATCCCATCAGCATTATGACAAATACGTGATTTTGACAATATTGATGGGCATGTCCCACAGGTTTCTAAAACCTGTACTCAGTGAGAAGTTACTCAATGTTTTACCTAAGTATTCATCATTTTATATTAGTTAAAGTTATAGAACCCCAGTTCAGCATTTACAAAATAAAGATTAGATGATTGGAAACACTTTTCCAAGTCTGCCATGCAAACGGAATCTCTTTGGGCTTGGCTTACATTCTGAAAACCTGCCAGTCCTTCCGTGTTTGGAGCATGCCATGGAACTGCAAATCTGCATAGAGCAATCAGTAGGTAGTTACAGAGATGAAGTGCCATTTCTACAACAGAGCACACATCAGAAATTGTCTGAATGTCTTCATAAACTCAGACCTTGAATGTTAAGTGCTTGGTTTGTTAGGTAAAATACGAAGGTCATGGTGGGAATGACTAAAGGAATTCTAGAAAAATATGCCAAGGCAGGGTTGTGAATAGCTTTGAATATCACAAATGAGCTTTTTATTTACATTTATTATTATGGAAAATTTTAACCATATACAAAAGTAAATGTTTGTAGGAAGATCACTTATACAGATCATCCAGCATTATCAATTATCAACACTTATAAATTTTCTTTGATCCCTGTTCTTACCACTCCCATCTCTGGCATATTTTAAAATAAATGTATTATTCATGCTTTGGTGTTTATATGTGATGGAAAAGAACTTAAAAATCATTATCCTTTACATATATATCCAATAAGTCCAACAGTAATTTCTTAATATCATTAAATTCAGCCAAGTTGCCTCTAAAATCTTCACACAGAGTATTTGTTGATACAGCTTTTATTTCATTTTGTTTTATAATGTTTCCCCTCTGTCCTTTGCTTTTACAAATGCTGTTTATCTCTTTGAGCAGTTTGCTCATTTGTCTTGTAGAGTTCTGACCCTGGATTTAGCCAACTGTAACCCTCAGGTGTCACTGAACACGCTCCTCTTTCCCTGACGACCCTGTAAACTAGTTAGAGCTAGAAGTTTGAATAAATTTAAGCTCACTTATTTTGGTGAGACTGTGTGTTATATAGTGTAATGAAAGTGTTTTCTCTTCATTTTGTAGGCAGTCGAGAGTCATGGAGTCTTTTTAAACGTACCTTTTAAAAGGTCTGATGTGGAAGAGACATTAGGAGAAGTATGAAAGATAGAATCAAGTAAGAATAGACTAGAGGCAGAGAGAAATATCCTGAAGGCAGTGGCAGTGGAAGCACTACAAGGGGACAATTACTAAGAGATATTTTTGTGGTAGACTCAGCAGGAATTGAGAATTGATTTGATTTGGGAGGTGAGAGAAAGGGAAGAGTAGAGGATGTTTTGAACTGGAACAAGTAGATGTTGATGCTGTTAATTGATCAAAGGACACTTGCATGTTTTAGAAAGGAAGTTCGAGTTTGGAAATAATGGGCTTGAGGCATTTTAGAATGTACAGTGGCAATTTCTTTCTATTCAGCAGCAGGAAATATGGACCTGGGTCTGAGAAGAGAGATCAAAACGGATGACAGCTGTATGAGAGCTGATTCCTCGTGCAGTGGATAATCAATGAGTACGGACTAGGAAAATACAATGTATGAAAATAGACTACTAGTTAGATAACTTTTGTGTTTAAAAAAAAAAAAGAAGAGGAAAGGAACAACCCGAGCCAGGAATTGAAGCGAAAGAAAGGTGCAACCTGAGCCAGGAATTGAAAACAATTCCTGGGACTACAGAGGCCTAAGCATAGGGAAAGTATTCAAAAAATGGAAATACTAATAAAGAAATAATTGATGAAATGAGAAGAGAAAACATTGAAGTGATCAATGGTACGGTGAAGGAGTTAACCTTGGAAAAGTAGTAGTTGTTTGTTTAAGAGACAAAGAGAGAGGAAGACACAGTTGGAGAAGGTGAGAGATGCAAATTGTGTTCACTCCCTCAGTGTAGTGGAAGGCAGTGGCTCTCATCAGAGTCGCCGGAGGCCTGGGAAGGATGGTCAAGCAATGATCCTGTTGTGAATGGATAAGAAGGCCGAGTAATAAAAAGATTGCTCAGCAGAGAAGATCTGGCTGGTGTGGTAGTTATACACTTGTAAAGGTGAATAAGGAAGGTTAAAGAGCCATGAATTGACTAGGACAGGAAAAAGAAGTATTTATCGTAAAGTGGATTTTTAAAATATCATGTTAAAATGTCTCTTTGCAATGGCATCTACTGACCACCTGCATCAAAATCAGATGGGTTAGTTGTTAAAAGTGGGGACTCCCCTGTTTCACCTCAAATAAGTGATGTCATAATCTATGAATGTGGTCTTGGAAATCTGTATTTTAAACTCTGCAGATGAATCTAATGTACATTTATGGTTAAGAACAACTAATAGTGTATTCTATTATTTTCTTGAGTCTATGATTCCAATTAAAAGCACAATTATTTGTTGGGGAAATAAACCTAAAAACAAAATCTTCTTCCAACCCAGAAATCCTCTCTGCCTAGGTAGTAGAGAAAAGTAGAGAAATAAAAACACTTTTATCATTAAATAAGCATTAAACCAGACTGTGATGTACATCATAGCTAATTGGTAAGAGATTACAAAAACAGAAAGAAACCTCACCCTTTTATACAGCCAAGCAGAGACAACTCATTACATATGTTTTCAATATAGACAATAACTAGTCCTCAATTAAGAGGACTTGACGGGACCATTTGTCACACATATGAATCCCCACTTTACGTGGTAAGTAGAATGACCATCTGTGTTAGCTCATTTATTTTATCCAGAAGAAAAGTTAACTTCTCATATCTTTATGACAGGAAGTAGTTTTGCAATTTGGAGCAAGGCTCACATCAGAATTAGGCTCCTACCCTACCACAGAAACTGAGACATAACGTACCATCTCCCTTGTTGTTTACATTTCAAAGAGATGGCTCTCAGATCCTTGAGAAAGACATTCCTGGGTCATAAAGCTTGCAAGAATCCAATCTAGTTTTCAAAAGGATTAATACACACTTTAAGGAGAGGAGACAGTACTTCTAATTACAAGTTTTCTAAAGTAAACGCTCTAAGAAAAAGGGAGGGAGAAGTCTCTTCCTCTATTTTCGATGATATTTGTATTTTTTCTGGCACACATTAGCACTTTAGGTATTATCTGGCTTAAACAACAAACACCCAAACTTTCTGGACGTATGTTCATAAACACATATACCCATTACCACACGCATGCACGTGCACACGCACACACACACACCCACACCCACACCACACAGTTACAATTTTAAAATTTGTATTTAAAAAACACTGAGTTCATATTTTAAAGAACAAATATTAATGAAATTCAAATAATGCTGAAGTCCCAGGAGAGACTTTATATTTAGTTGTGTATTATTTAACCCATTTTTTTGGAGGTTGTTTGCAAAAAGATCAGAGTGAGCAAATAAAGCCTAAAGATTAATTGCTTACTGCCCTCTTGACTCTCAGTATCTCCTCCACATTGGGATCACTCTTGATGTCATCAGAAGCTCCACACGCTACTCAGAGCTTAAGCAACGGGATGGAATGAGAATGAGCCTGGCAAAGGAAAGGAGCTATCTAAATGCAAAGCAATGTTAATAATGATGAGAGTAATCATCTCACCCTAACTGACCTTTGCTGTTTTATGACATTACAACTATTTTCTTTAATTTCCATGGCATTTATCGTGGAGCCAAGAGAAGGACCATGGTCTAATTCATTTAAATTTAAAGGAATGCCATTTAATTTCAGAGGTAGTTAACTCTTGGTTATCCAAGCTAATAGCAAAAAGCAGGCTCATGAACCATTAAAATTACAGTTGTGATGATTCTAGAATAAAACTCAAAGTATAGTTGACTCTTAGAGTACCAAGGAATTATTTGGTTAAAGTGAAACATACAGAGGAATGTACTTGGCCTTTGTGACTGATGGATATTTTCTGAAATCAGCCCCCCCTTATTTGGAAGGACATGAGAATTAGGCTAAACTTTCTGGCCTCTAAAGAAATCTTTAATGATAAAGGCACATCCAAGGAGAAAAATGGGCTTATCGCACTAGAAACTTCATGGTTTGACACTGTCATGACCCTCTGACATGAACTAAGTAGCCATGGGAAGGTGGATATTAGTCAGTGTGTCATAGCATGTGATTTGACATTATGTCGTAAATAATACTATTAAGGAAACAAGCACTAAGTTCTATGTATTGAGTACCAGGCACGTCACAGAATTCTTTCATTTCTTACAACAAACTTATAAAATCTTTTTAAATCCTCTCTTTATAGTAGGAAAACTGAGGGCATGAGTTTGTTAAATATTGCAAATCTACAAATTGATAGAGATATAAAACTAGGATTCTTTCCCTTAAACAATGATGTCTAAAAATGAAATTTGAATACTCAGTTTAAAAAATGATATAGGTATGGAGACTCTCAATAGAAATTACCACGTTTAAGGATATGAAAAATCATGCGTTAGGAGAATTTGTTTAGTCTTTTCAAGACTTG